TTACACATTGGAGTATAAAATACACCTATGGTTACAATGTGGATATGGTGACCTGGAATTGGGAGTAATTGATGGATACGTGCCAGGCAGCTACGGAATACATTGCAAGCGCAGTAATCATTTAAACTTTTTTCTTCGTATTCGACATTGTAAGAAGGCCAAGATCGGGTATTCTTGAGGGGAAAACATTTTTAAATTCAAAAATTCATGGCCATTGGAATAAGAACGAATGCACTTTAGTATGAATGAGTTTTTTTCAAATTTAAGCGTGAGCGTTATGTAAATATATTTTTATATCAAGGGTATATAAATATGTATTTCTGTGCTATGTTATGTTATGTGTTTGCCAGGAATGGTGGCAATGACGCCAGGTAAATTCTGTTGCGAATAAATAATATTGCACTAGCGTTGACGGTGACAGTGATTGAAAATATGTTTGTGCTTTATTAAATTGGGAATGAGGAAAGAGCACACTATGTATAAAATCCTAACAAGAGATGAGAATTACCCGTTTCTTTTATGGGAGGGGCTTTGCGCTCCCACCACCAAAATTATTTCCTTAAACGGTCCGTAGTTCCGCCTTGTATGTGTTAGTAATATTGATGTTAGTAGAATTTCGGAAGATAGAAGCCGGTTCTTTATGATTATAAGTAAAAAATGGAAATGAATCGTTTCAATGACCGTCCGACGTTTGGCAAGGAAAGGCAAAATAATATCAATATTATTTACTTATTTTTATAAATTAGAGGAATTAAGGAACGTTAAACACTATTGGTTTTAATTTTACGAGTGGAATATGTGAGTTGTAATATGTGAGTTGGTTATCCTTCAGTTTAGGAACACAGGAGTAAAGAGCGATTTCGAGTACTAGACTACAGCAGTTACGTTTCTCCAAAATCTTCGACCTCTTTCTTGCTCCAGTTATGTCCTCTCATGATGATCTTCTCAAAAATTATCTTCAGCCAAGAACAATAAATATGTCCATGCATTTTTTAAATTCATTTTCCGTTTCTATTTTGATTTTTTAACACGGTTTTATAGCAGATACACAGTACAAGTCAGAAAATAATTATATTTTTCACATTTTTTTCAGTTTTGCGGACTCCTAATAGTAATATCTAAAGAAGAATTGAAGAAAATTAGAGAGGCATAATATCAAGTTCGTACTAAAATTTTCATTGCAACATATGGAGCCCTTTTTGAGATAATTGAACATCTGGTGAGGAGGCACAATTTTCAGTTTGTTTTCCGAAAGCTTCAGAGTTCTCTAGAAACTTTATGGGTAAACATTTGCAGTACATGTAATCACAAATGTAATAAATTATAAAACACTCATGTGACGCAAATATCGATGACGTAAGATTGAATTAAAAAATCACGTTTGTGTAATTTATGGAAAATCTAATAATTAAATCTAAAATGTGTTTATGTCGTGCTTTAATGCATTTAGCACAATATATACACAAAAGTTGAAAGAAAAAATGTGTATCCGTTTTTGAGAAACTTTGCCCATATTCCAAAATATTGGCTATATTTCACTCAAAATTGCGCAAAAACTACACATTTTTTAAAAAAAAAAAGTATATGAAATATATTACTGCACTACTTGAGGATAAAAAATTGAATTTAAATAAATAATTGATATGTTAAATAATGTAGTTATACTAGTAGTAAATAAAAATTAGAACGTTTGCAATTTTCGAAAATTCAAAGTTAACTGTGAAAATCGGAAATATACAATTTTATTCCTCTATGTTCTTACAAGAAATCGAAATAACAAATTGATGGCATTTTGGAGAACATTTTTAAAACGTTTCATGGGCTTCATGTAAAACACTTCTCAAACTCAAAGAACGCATTTCGAATTCGCAATGTCTCGAGTCAGGGCAGATTGATCGTGGAATGTTCATTTTGAAAAAAAAAATCCTACGAATAGATTAAACGCAAGTGCTAAAAGACGGATGGGCTGACAGACGTTTTGAATATAATAATACTTTTTTGGTGTTAGGGGACCCAAATTTGATATTCGGCAATATTACGTAATTTTCCCCTCGCTACGTTTATTACAGCGTATTTATGTACGTACACGAGAAAGTAATATTGGCGAATATAATAATACGAATTTGTTATTAAGAATTTAAAAAAATACATTTTAAAACTAATGGTGCGACTGAATAGCAGAGTCTTTGTCGTACTAGTTAGTCTTCTAACTTCTTTGGTCTCCTCAAGCTTTACAGTCTTGTCCCATCCTCTTGACAAGAACAAAATATGGAGAATACATTTTACTTGAAGGGAAAATCTATATATTCAATTTTGTAGATGCCGGAAGATGCACGAAAAACGTCAAATTTTGCAATTTTCGAAAATTCAGAGTTAACCGTGAAACTCGGACCTATGTCACTTTTATAAGTGTATTATATACTATTCTTACAAGAAGTTTAAAGAAAAATTTTGTAGCCGTTTTTGAGAAAATTTTGAAAATGTCCCAGGAGATTCGTGTTTTGTACCCCCAAATTTTAAAGAGTTTTCAAAATCTCAAAGCTTCGACTCGAACCACATGGACAGATTTTCTTCAACTTGGAAAAATCTACGCATTATTTAGGCGCTAGTGGTGTTCACAGACGCGCAGACAGATGGGCAGACAGACGGACAGACGGACGTTTTGAAAAGAAACCACCCCAAAGAGTGTATTTCCGTTGATATCTCGAATTCGATTTTCCGCAGCATTACATAACTTTCTGTATACTACGTACGAGTATATAACTCCGTATATAAATATTATTATTATTATTATTATTATTATTATTATTATTATTATTATTATTATTATATGCCTTTATTGATATGACGAGGCTCGGACCGTCAGGCCCGCTCTGCCGCCGATTACATGTCATAAATATACAGATTAATCTAAAAAAGTAATGGAATTTAAAAAATTGTAATGTAATATAATCTGTAAGTGGTAAGTAGTTAGTGGAAAGCAAAAGTTATTTAAAGCGGCTTATAAATAGATAACATCAGAGGTTAAATGTATACAATATTACAATAATACGTTTGATATAATTTTAAAATTCAATAAATAAGTATACGAAAAAGTAACGTGGTGGCACACAATGGCACAGACTTTCTCGTATAAGATTTTTATTTTCTTTGGTCTGGGCTAGCTATTTCGATTTGCCACATACTCTTGCTAGCTAACATCTATCGCCGGCCAAAGTATTTTATTTTAAATTGTCATTTTTCTGTTTCCTAATAGTAGAACAGTAATATTACTTTAAAAATATTATAGAAGAGTAGAAACTCGTTCTAAATGGCAATTTTGATTGAAAAAATTGGAGCTGCTTTTTAAGAAAATTTGAAGCTCTTTATCACAGAAAACTTTTGAGTTTTCGTACAACTTCATTTGAAGTACTTTTAAGTACTGCCTTTCACAAATGCAATAATGTATACAAATTGCGGGAAATGTCACGGTAAATGTACTAAAGGCGCGAGATATATTTTAAAAAAATATATATTTGTAAAATTTTTGAAAAAACAATATAATACAGCAAAATGAAGTTTACATCATATTAATCATTGCAATTAGTACTTCCCGTTTGAAAAATATCAAGAAAAATTGGAGGTTTTTTTTGTGAAAATTGCGTGTAAACATTTATGAAAATTTTGAGAAAACTTTATGACATTATTTAAAGCAATTGTACTCATGAATACAATGTGAGCAAATTGCCGCTAATGTAACCCAGATGGACAGGGGTTTCTTCAATTTGAAAAAAAAAAATCCTGTTCTTGGTTTAGCTGCTAGTCGTGTGCACACCACGGTGGACGGATGGACACAGACGTTTTGGAGAGAAAAAAATGGTATCCGGGGACCTTAAAAAGAGTATTTCCTTTGAAATATCAAAATCGAGTTTTGTAACTTTCCATGTACTACGTAAATTATTCGATATAAACGTATGTATACGGAAAAGTATTAAAAGAGAATGTGCTTATGTGTCGCACTGACGGAAAACCTACTCGACCGATTTCGCTGAAATTTTCACACTTGTTTCTTATTAGTAGCGGGATCATTTAATGAATTTAAATTAAATCGGATATCTGGAATTGTTGACAGCGTTTCGCGGGGGTATCACGCGCCCCTGCACAGAAGCGGTAGACAACCCGCCGTACAGTCAAGTATTAAGCATCTGTGGCTGCATATTATGCCCCTGCAAATCTGAAGTGCCGGAATCATTACTTGAACGTATGAAGTAAATGAAATTTCTCCAAGACAGTCACAGCAAACGCATGCCGAAACTTGAGGGGGAACATTTTCACAACAGAATTCTTGACAACCATGTCCAAACTAGGACATAGAACTAACCCGTGTTCACGAGAAATTATTTCAATTAGAATTTTTGCAGAGCGTAGAGTAAAACGTGATTAACAATCACGTGATCTGTAGCGTGCGAAATAAAATACATTGAGAAAGCTAAGCATTGCAGGGTCCACTAATAACAAAAGAAAATATCATGCAGTAAAAAGCTACGGAAAAATATAGTATACATACCTTGGTGTTCAACATTTAAAAACTTGTTTTAATAGCAATAACCTACTTATCCTACTTAACCTACTTATTGCATCTATCATCAGGATAAGCATTACCGAGACTGAAAGTATTACATATTGTCTTGTGCTTAACAGCGACGCAACCCCTTTGTGCAACAACGCACCTTTCAAAGGCTTTGGTGACACATGATCTTGGAAACCAGTAAGACGGCCACGCACGACGCGCCGACGTGCCCTGTGGATTAAGCGGAGCTCGTGAGGCGGCGATCGCCTTGCTTCAACGGCGCGCGGCGCGAGTATCGAGCGAGGGCAGCGCCCCCGCCGGAGCCTGCGTTGCCTGTGCATTATTGATGTTCCACTGGCGGGAAACTCGTAGCCAATGAAACGGACACTTTCATTGCGACCCTCCAAATCACCCCGAGCGCCCCGCCCCGCCCCGCCCCGCCCCGCCGGCTCACCCACACTCTTGTCCTAGGCCCTCCTGCCCTTGTACTCCGTCCCTACCGGGCCGCGCGGTGACGCCTTCGTGTGTCCGCAGGAAGCCTCGTGCAGGTGCCCGCCGACAAGCCCCGGACGTCCAGAAGCAGGCTGACCAACTTCAAGAGCGAAAAGGAGGCCCTGCGCCAATGCTTCCTCTTCTCCAACCATCTCATTTTGGCCACAAGGTCAGTTGTCACCCCTTTGCCCACCTCTCCTTGTATAACCTAAAGGCCTTACTCGCGCAACTTTTCTTGACCGATAGATTGAAGAAATGCGCATAGAGCGGGGGAATTAGTTATGAAATTGGCCACTAGATTTTATGAAGCAATGTCAATGTCTGGAGAATCAATCATGCTTTAGCAACGTTCTCAATAATTTGCGTTCCGACTTTCTCAGGAGCTTGAGGTATCTCCTGTGATAGATCTTTACGTCGTTAAGTCATTTCTTTAGATTTTTTGGCGAAAATAACCTATAGAAGTTCTCGCCTTCTACAGAAAATGTTTTCTATTTCGCGCCAGTGAAGATGTGTTTGGAATGTTGTCATCAGTGCTCGCGGCGAGCTGTTGCCTTCAACTATACGTTGTGCGACAGAAGGGGAAGCAAGGTCGTCGGTTAAGAAAAGTTGCGCTATTAAATACCCGTCATTCGCCGAGTGCGGAGTGTCATGGAAGTTGATTCCGCAGGACGTCTGGCGGCCGCTTGCATCTGGTGCCTGACATCGGGAAGATCCCGCTCGCCGACGCCTTGCTTATCGAGGACCCCAGCGAGCATGGTGTGAATGATGATGATGGTAACATTGTTTCTTTCATTGCTGACAACTGCACTGAACCCTTGTGCTTTAACAAGTCAGTGCTTTCTGTCAGCATATTGTCAAAAACTGAAATATAGTGCTTTCAGGTACAAACTATCTGTTACTACTATTTTTCACTCACTGAAGCAGAAACAACACCCGACCAAAACTTGTTATGAACTGTATTACATGGATGTAGTTACTCTTTATAGCACACAATTCAATCGTACACAAAATATTTTTTATATCTCATTGTGTATTTCCAATTTTAATTTATAATATTTACCGTTTTTAAAATTGAGTATAGTACCTTCATTATAAGAATAATTTTAATAGATTATGAATCACTCTTAATTTCAGAATCATCAGTATGTTCCATGTCTAGCCAATCAAGTGGCATCAGTGAAACATCCAGTGGAAGCTCTAACCTTCACAACAGGGATTTCAAAATTATACTGGATGTAAAAACAGGGGCCCAGTCACAGGTGGTTGTCCACCTTGTGGCTCCCAATTTGCAAGAGAAAGCTGCGTGGATCAGTGACATAAGTCAGGTAAACTTAACTAAATATTATTTTAATTTTTTTTCAGAAAGAGGTAGAGTTTAAAGGCAGGAATCCAGCTATACCTAGGGTTGCTACCTGTTCCATATTTTATACGGAAAAATTGCACACTGAATTATAAGTCAATAGTTCCATAAATCATTGAAAAGTATAGTATTTAAAGATTTGTCTCCTGAATGTTATAGCCTTGTTTCCCTTAGAACTATATTGTCACCGTGTTCATATTATAATCTAATCTGACTGATTCTAGAAACTGATGTTCCATATTAGTAATGAACTTATGATACCAATGATGAAAACATTAACATGACATGCAAATAATTTTATATAACTGTCAAATCTGATTCTACAGTTTTAAAAGCAAAAAGATGAAATTCCAAGTACAATTAAAGAAATGAATATGATATTTATTGGCTTTCTGCATAATTAACAATACCATACATGTAAATTTGCATAGTAAGTGAAGAAAATTATTAATAATAACATAAGAAGTGCACCTACTCATAATAAGCTATTAGTTAACTATTTCGATTAAATTATTTCTGATTATATCTCTATTTTTGTTAAATGTACCTTATTTTAGGCTATTTATAATGAATGACACTTATTTCACATTTCTACAGATGTCTACCCACTATATCACTAGAACAGTAATATATCTCAAGTTTGGTAAATCTCATTAATTTCTTGAATTCCATTTCCTTGCAATGTGGTAATTCATGAATTACACCATTGAAGCAATGTATTAAACATAATATAGTACTACTTTAATTATAATACATTTTATTAGTTTTTTTAATCTTGTAGCTTTTGGACTCAAATCAAAAGAACCTACCAAATTAGCATCAATTCACAGCGGCTTCTGAAAATATTGACAATATTTTTTAAATTTCGTATTAATGTATTAAATTGGCTTTAAGTTCATGCTCAAAGTATTATAGTTTTGTTTTTGTTTTTAAATAATTTTATTTAATCATATAGGTAGTTGCTAGTAATTTGTTATTTACTGAAAGTTATCTTAAGGGGAGGTGTTAAGTCTTATGTCCAAGTTGTTAAATTTTCCAAGTTTGTTCAGTTCAAGTATTTTCTCAGAAATTATTAATTGGACTTAAACCAAATTTGGCACACTGATTTCAACACATCTCATACATTTACTGAGTTTCTTCCGATACCTATCTGTGAATGTAATGTTTTAAAATAATATTAATTGAATGTACTTTTTTTCTGTTACATTTTTTGTCAATCTATATTTTATTGCAATGCCATTTTTGCATGAAAATGGAAGAGACAAACTCAATAGATATTAATATAATAGTACAACACTGTTTAAAAAAAATGGCTTTGAATGTATAGTTCCTGAGCAAAGGGTCAATTGTACCAAAACTATCACTTTTGAGAAAACTTATTTTAAAGTTTTTACTGTGCAAGGAAATTCATGGTACTGCATTCAAATTCATGGCATAGATCTCATCCATTGTCATCAGCATTAACCCATTGTTGTACCATCTGTGCGTACAGAGTCATTGCTGGAACGCTCAGGTAGCATTATTTGCAACTTTTAGTCCTAAACAATTGTTATGTTGTTAATTGTACTACTACAGCGCTCCAAAGAAACAAAAGTTGGTACATGAGAAAATGTCATTTTAATCTGTTTGAAAGGTCATAAAGCAAAAGAAAAGTTTATACAATGTTACCAAAACTACAAAGAATAGAAAAATAACAAAAACAATAAATCGAAAATTTTATCCACATGGCTCAACACCTCCACTTAAGGTAATTTTCTGCAGGTTATTGTCATTTCTATGTATTGATCTAAAATGAAAAGAAGTATGTTATTTATACAAGTTTCAAAATAAAAACTGAAGCCAGCAAGTAAATTGTTATTGTTATGTTAATGAGTGTTGTTGAATTGTAACAATGAGTAGATATGAAAATGCAGAGGCATTGTTGGCAGGCTTAGGGATACATCCCCCAATATTCATGATGGGAATATAGGATATGAAGTACCTACATACAGTAGTTTTGCTCTAATTTCATAGTTTTTACAAAAGGCACTTTCAGGAAAACATATTTTAATGATGTTTATTCCTTAAATAATTATACAGGCCTGCGATGAAATGAATACAAGGAATTTGATAGCTGAACTTAATGAACTTTTTTTTATTTTGGTGCTTATTTCAAGAAAAATAATGAAAAATATCTATCACATCATGTTTTCTTGACAAATTCAATTTTGCAATTTTTATTTTTATGAACTTTTACCATACATTTTTTTCTGAGCCTTTCAAAAGAGCCAGATAAATTGTTGGGTTTCAGATTGAAATAAAACAATTATTGGCATCTTTTTGTTAGTACAGGAATCAAGAAATGAAATTTCTTAAGTACTTTGAGGAAAATGGTCTATTGTTCTGATGATCCCACATTGATGAGCAAATTTAGTATAACCTGTGCAGTTGAGGCAAGTTGAGTGGAGGTTGTTTATAGATTTGTTAAAAAGGAGCCTCAATGCTGTCCTGCTTCATCATTGAAGCCAGTATGCATCTACACCAGTTGGACACTAAGTGCATTTAAAAGAACGCTACGAAAACCTAGCTCTCACCCTCAACGAGATAAAATATGTCGACCATGGCTGGACTATCTGTGGTAATTTGGAAGTTACATTCAAGCTTCTTGATCAAAAAGGTGGATATACAAATTTATCATGTTTCATTTGTGAATGGGACAGCTTTGATGTTGGGTAAAAAAGAATGGCGAAAACGACAAAATCTTGAATCAGGTACCAAGAATGAGATTTGGAACAGCATAGTGGAGCTAAAAATGTATTGTTAGCCACTCTGCATATACAAATTAGGTATAATAGAGCAGTTTGTGAAGGATTTTCCAAAAGATACCCATTGTTTCAAATACCAAATTGCCAAATTGGCTTATCCAAAGCCAAATTGAAAGAGGGAATCTTTGTTTGTCCAGATATCTGCAAGCTTATGGAGGATAAAGAATTTGAAATCAGCATGATAACAAAGAAAAAATAAGCTTTTGTTGCCTTCAAAATTGGTCCTTCAAAGGTGTTGTCAGTAAATTTGTGGGTAATTGCAAGAATCCTGATTTTGAAGCAATTGTTATTTATATTTATTTATTGTTGTTAATATGCTGGACAAATTTCAAGTATTGGGTTGCCCCATGAGTATCAAAATATATTTCCTTCACTCATATGGATTTTTTTCTGTGAAAATTTAGGATCAGTCAGGAAAGAACAGGGTGAGAGATTCCACCATGACCTGAAAGCACATATATAAGGAACATGCTCATCAACCACTGTTGGATGTTAATACAAGATAGTCCTGAGATTGAACATAAAAGAAGAATGACAAAAAGAAGTTTCAAAAGAACCAGAATACGAATGTACATAGAAATGTATTTGTTTTGCTTTTTGCTCAGTTTAAAATTTGTTGCAAAGTTTCAGGTACATATACTCTGTCAATTATATATATTAAGCAAATTATCTTAATAAAAAAAATTAAAAAAGCATGTTTGTGATTTTCTTCTAGAAACTACAGCATAATTTGATGTAAAAAGTTAAAATTCAAGAGAACTTTTGGTTTTCCAATTAAATCTCTAAAAAAATCGCTAAAAAATCAATTTGCCTCAGCAAGAATCCATTATATTTTACATTGATATACGTAGATAAAATCTATTTGCCATATAGTACATTGAAAATTGTTCGAGAGAATTCTTTTTCAAATAGCATTGTAGGAAAAATATTAATATTACAAAAAAGTCCTGATGGGAAAAAATGGAGATAATTTTGATATCAGCATACCAATAACATAAAAAATCAGCGAAAGCTTCTTTTGTATTTTTTAAAAACTTCAATTTCGCTGCCTGTGTTATCGTATTGTGAAACAATAACATGATGTGAAAATGTTTTGCTGTCCTTTTGCCAAAATCTGCAAGGGTGGGAAATGCATTTTAATGAAGAAGCTCCTGTACTAGAACGCCGCCACCACAAGCTGTATTTTCATAGCAAATGATGAGGGTCAGTGTTTCCCATGATGAGCATCACACAGGGCCAGTTGTTGTTTTTTTAGCTTTAAACAATTTACATGTTTTTGGAGTGTTTCTGTGCTTATGCAATGCAAATTTTTGCCTAGAATTCATTCTTTCAAATCAACTCATTTGGAATATCCCAGTAGTTTATTAGACAAAATATGCTTAAAATTGTCAACTCATATTCTTATATTAAAATGATATTGATATAATATATAAACACACAAGTATACAATTTTTACAACCTACAAGGCCCCCACATTTTGACAGCCCGGGGCCTTCCTTTTCTTCGTTTTTGTTAACCCGGCCGTGTGATCACACATACCCCCCCCTCCAACAATTTTTTTCAAAAATTGCTAGCTGAAATTTGGGGTACGGAAATTTGGTGTTCGAGTCAATGTTGGTCCCTCAAATTTGAATCGTGGTCACATGGTTTATACTTCGGTTTGTATACCGCGGCGCGTCAGGGCATGCTTCACGATGGAATATCTCACGGCATATGCGTCCTTCTCGGCGTGACGCTAGATGTTGCTTGATCGCGACCGTGATGCGGCCGAGACAATAGCGACGCGACCGAGAAAGACGCGAAATGCCTGACATGATACCAGTGTAAAGACGGGCCTTGAGGTGCAGCATTATAAAAATTGCATTCTAACCTGTGTTAGAATGGCGGGCCTTTTGAGTACAGACATTTTTGCAATAAAAAGTGAAAACATGAGAAAAAAGTTTTTTTTCAAGATTCTTTGCCAGAAAATTGGGGTGCGGGTATTTGGTGTATGGGGTGAATTGGAGGGATCTCCATGGACATCTGTTCCTTGGGAGTTGAATTCTCTCCCGAAATAAATTATTTGGTGCCAGTGATGCCCAAGCAAAATATCATTCACTGATTGCAAGTTATGAAACAACTTATTGCAATCACATATCACTTGTACAATATCATATCACTTGTACTCATTTTTAGAACAATTGAATAAAATATCTAGAGGGCTTTTTTAAAAAAATTAAGTGTTTTCAGGATTAACCAAATGTTATTGAGAACAGAGATCAGCAATCGGAAGTGTAAAAAGTGACAAGTCCATGGCAATCTAATTTATTTTGAAATGTGATTTAAAACTGAATGTTTCAGTGCATGGACAATGTACACTTCAATGATTTGCTGCACAGCTCAATGTCTGATACATCATCTGTAACAATGCCACAATCCATCAAAAACGATCCTAAATTATTCAAAGATGATGTTGATATAAGATTTAGTCGTACTCTGAATTCTTGCAAGGTAATGATGAATTGCATTTTTGACATACTTGCTATATTTCAACTTGTTTACTTAATGATTATTTTATATCATTACAGGTGCCTCAAATTCGATATGCTACTCCAGAAAGATTATTGGAACGTCTAACTGATTTGCGTTTCCTTTCTATTGATTTTCTCAACACATTTCTACTAACGTACAGAGTGTTCACAGATGGTGTAACTGTTCTGGAAGCCCTGAAAAGGGTGTTTTACAATGCCGATCCTCCAGAAGCACAGACGAGCACTGATGGATCTATAATGTATGAATTTTTTATTTTAATTTGTGAACATGGAGATGAAATTGCCAACTAACATAATGCCAAAATGAACGGGAAATAATTAATTCCCTTTAATTATTAAATTTTAAGTCTTCCTCTATTTTGAGATTAATTTTTCAATGATCATATGTCAAAGAACCTTGATTTTTTTCTCTTTCATTATTTATTTACATACATTTTCTGTGCTTTTTTAAAAATTGGTTTAAAGAAAATTAAACCAGGTGGTGGTTTCTTTTTAGTACTACTACAACTAGGCAACTTGAAAACAGTTAATTTGTCCAAAATTGGTTTGAAATTTCATTTAAAGAACAGCATACAAAGGTTTCATGTGAATTCAGAAGTGATGTCCTGAATTGATTAGAACTGAACTGTACTCTCAGACCTTTCAGAGGGATTTTATAAATTTGACTATAATTTATCAAAGAATGAGATATCTACTTGTGGCACCCACACACACACAAATTGAAGGGTACTGGAAGAACCACATTTAAGGAAGAGGTCAAATCATCCTACATTTTTGTAGGGAGGGCAGATGTGTATTATAAATATTTGTCTAGCAGTGGAAACTTCTTTACATTTCTTGTCTTTTTGTTACACCTTAGAACTCTAAATTCCTTCTCCAAACTTTCTTTGTAATCTAAAACAAATTTACATCTTTTTGCGAAATTGAGCTGGCACTTCTGCCTGCCTTCAGATTTTTCTAATTGTGAGGTGCTGATCCAGAGAAGATTCCCAGTAGAAAATTTGCTCATACAAACATTAATTTACAATGTAATGTTTGTTTAAGTTTCTTCTTGCTCTTTGTGCGAGAACCTTTTATATAGCAGGCATTGCCACTCCATATGACTAATAATTTTTTTTATGATCTTAGTTTTCCTGTATGGAAGTCAAGCATACTACCACAATAAATTTGGTATGGTTCTCTCCATCACAGTAAAAGGAAATGTAACATACAAATACAGATAGAAACATCTGGTACAAACATCTTCTACCTCAAAGCTTTTTCTTTTCCCTTAAACTTCTGACCACAAGCCTTCTGCCCATTCCCTTGTTCTGAATGATGTTGTAGGTCTCTAGGTAGGTTCCTTGTTTTGAATTTACATCAACTCTTTTAAGTTTTGAAGATTTGAAACATTTCGAAATTGAGTGTTGTTGGTAGGATCCATTGGGGCCAACAAAACTTAATGGGGATCAAATTTGCAACTTGCAAAGGCCTCATTTGAGTTTGTGCTAGGCCTTTGTCTTGTTTTTTCTTTGCTTGATCTGTACCTTTTGATAAAGATAAGAGCTGTAGTTTGCTTTGAGTTCATCCTCACTGATCTCAGGAGTCCTCTGTGAAGATTTGTCAGAAAGGACTGGAATTAGGTACAGGAACTTCATTTTCAATGCATGTTAATTTATTCACATGCATTTATGCAAATTTCTCAATGCATCTCTTATTGCCCAGATTTTTAAGTACAGTGATCTTTTTTACATGACAACTCCTAAATAAGTGACTTCTTCTTTACTTGTATTTGGTTTTGTTCTTTTTTTGAGGCTGTATCCATAACAACATTACAGATTCTGGGTGTCTTTAAAAACATGGTCTATCAAAAATGGATTCATGGTAAATAGAAAGCCACAGATCTTTTCTCAGATCTTGCCTAAGAAACTGTGATTAAATTACCTTTTTCCCTCATAGGTCTCTAATTTGTTATAACAATTACCTATTTTTCCTCACCATAACATTTTTGCTAACACTGTCAATTGCAGTTATTTGGACACCATTATTTTCTCTCTGCTACTCGTATTAGGCAAACAGACAATAGAACAATGAAATTATGGAAACACGCCCGACTTGTTAATTTGTTTACAGAATGAACTGGACTCAAAGTGGATATCTCATCTTGGCAAGGCAGTTTCAGTTGCACAGCTGGGTAACTCAAGATATCTACTTGTAGCATAAAAACCTACATTTCAACTTCTTGAAATGATGATCACGTCTCAACGGTACGTCCTGTGAGAAATCCAGTTAGAGCATTGAATAGAACACTTCATGTTGGTAAGTGTACAAAAGATCATTCAAAACTGTAAAAGTTAGTTGCCTAGTTGTAGTAACTAAGGTAACAATATTGTCATATTTGATTTTAAAAATCAAAGATTGTGGCATTTTACCTGCCTTACAGAGTATTTATTATTCCCAAAATATTTTGTGTGTGTGAGCGTATATTGAAAAATGTTCAGTTACTCTTTTAATGCAAACATGTATTTGGACTGTACCAACATTCCGCTCTAGTTTACTGGAACCCAACTTTAAACAGACAGGCCACGTATTGTACTTACATCATAAAAAACTAGTATTGTGTGTGGATAAACATTAATATTGCTAAGCATTTATAAACAAGTGGAAAGACTTATACCTATGAAATTAAATTGTATGTTATATCAAATAAGTAGTCAGTTAAGGTGATGTGGGCTTCAAGAATGCTGAAGTCTGACCATCTGTATTTTGAGTGGGGCTTAGAAGCACTGAATGATCAAGGTCTAAGAATTGTAACTGGGTTTCAGGGGCCAGGAAACATTGAGCCCACGTTCTGCATGATGGTAAAGACTCACAGATTGCATATATGCCTGGTGATTTCTTCACTACGTAGACTACATTTCTACATTTTAAAAAAATTCTACATTTTTCATCTTAAATCTGTTTAATGCTGTCCTGGGGGTTAATTAATTCTGTACTCTACAACAACACATTTACAGGGTTTGGGACATCTCTTAAATCATACATGACAGTCATCTTTTCTTAGGTATTATGTATTAAAAGGATTTCAATTTGGAGACTTCCCAATTATGTCTGATATCACAGTGTATTCTCAATATATATGTCAGCTAGAGTATAAAAGTATCCTCAAACTTCCTGTATAATTCTAACCTTTATAAAACGTTTTAAGTTTTCAAATGTTGCTAGCCAGGCTTTGTTGGTACCTATTATCATCATTCAAGTATGGACAGTAAAAGGGTGGGGAAGTTCTTCTGAAGTTCAAGGAAACGGGCAGATTTTACTTCTCCTCCATACATCACAAACAGTTTTTACTCATATTTGATGGTAACTAAATAAAGAGAGAAAATGAAAAAGAACACTGCAAGTTTGCTTCTTAAATGTTTTAGGTCTCTGGATGCCCTAGCAGGTCGTGATGACCACACCACTTTGTCTTTGGTGTACGACACTGATCGTCGAAGAAGTAGTGTGTCTCCTAGACGGACAAGTGGAGCAAGCTCTGTGTCAGGTAAGATTTTCATATTTAAAAAATTATAAAAAACAACTAATTTATGCATGCATAACATTGATTTTTTTTAGCTTAGTTCCAACTTTGTAGTTTTTTAAAATCATTTAATTGTGATGCTGTTTAAAATATTTCTTGAATGATGTATTTATTGTTTCTACTACACTTTATTGCTTTTATTTTGTAAAACTGCTTAATCATTTGCTTCACTGTTTGGATGAATTAGTTATGAAATACTGTTACTTACTTAGGAAATGATGTTCATTAACAAATTTATTTTTAAATTTTAGTTTTTCTATTCCCAGTTTGTAAGGAAACTTTTTTGTAATGCTGCAGTCTAAATGCTGGTAAGATAGTTTGTGTTTATTCTTTGTTAAGAGGCAAATGTAACAAGACTTAGTAGTTTGCAATATGAAGTAACTTTGTTTATATTCTATAACCGTAGCAATAGTAAATTCTTTTAGCGATTTTTTTGACATGAAAAAGAAACAAAATTACATTTGTTTGGCATCTGCTTATGTGAATTCTTCAAAACAACTGAATAAAATTTCTGTAAAGCTCATGGATTCATTAATTATCATGGAAATATTTTAAAGTGAAAATCCTAGTACAAGGAAGTTTCATTCTTAAATTGTGGAAAATATTATCAACATTTTGTGGAAGTATATTATTTCTAAGTAATTCGAAGTATTAAAGTAAATTTGTTTCACATACCAGGAAAAGATATCGAGATTTAAATTAATGTCCTCGTCAATTACAAATTGTTGTGTGAGATCTTGCATGATCTTAATCACTTGCTCAAAGTTCACATCTCCGGTTGAAGACCAAATGCTTGTTCAGGATCAATAAATTTGTTTAATTTCTTTTAGAAAATAGTCCTAACTAAATGGTAAAAGTCTGAACTCAAATTGCCCTTTTTGGGGGGTTTGTTTCTGAATGCTTTGGATTGCTGCTAGTATCCATTCTTGAGTATAGAACAAGAGCTCAGAGAACTGAGCACCTTTTTAACAGAAAATCTAGATTGTCACCTCACTTACTTGAAATGGTACATTTCCCTAAACACTCTGAGGGCTCTGGTTAAAGTTACGTAAGAAATTGTATTGAAAAGAAATGTAAAGAACAAAAAAATCGCTTTTATTGCTTGCTTACAGCTTCATTTCCTGCACTAGTTGTAGTAAGGACTACACTAGTTAATGCATATTTTCTGAATGCTTCATGAAGACCAAAACTATAGAACAGGAGGAAGCACAGGCAACTCACAGGGCCTGAGATATGAAACACAAGAAAAAAGCTTTGCATATTAATTTCTGAAGTGAACAAAAATATTCTAAAGAATAAAACTTGCCTGGCCTTTTTATCAAAAACCTCCTATATTTGAATATCTACCTGGGGAAGAAAAATGTTGGGGCCCATGTGTTTGCTTGTGTGCACTTGTGCTCTAGCATTGATTGTTTTATTCCCTGAAATGCTTATTTATTTTAATAAAATTTTAAGATGTAATGACTTTTTTATATCTTTAGCAATAACTAAACTCTTTGAAAATTAAATTTCTCACACGAAATTGAGCTATATGAGACCACAGTGATGACTGAAAATATGAAAGGGATTTTCAGTTGACAAGAGTGTATGCAAGGAAATGTATATAAACTGGTGTTATAGGTTATGGTTCAGAGATGAGCGATCGCGATCGAGATCGCAGCCACAGCTATGATTCTCAAGCGTTCTCCTCCAAGGGTCACTGGAGATGTAGCTACCGCAAGTGTGAGTTGATGTAGATCTGAACCCTACCACCTCCACAATGTGTTTATCAGTTGAGACAGCAAAGAATTCTTGAAATACAAATTGGAAAGTGCTCTGATAAAACTTATGAATAATTAAGTTTATTTGTTAAAATTTGTGTGAAGTATGCCAAAAACCAAAAATGCCCAATCATAATTACCATTATTATTTTTTTTTTTTGTTGTCTCAACTCTTGTCATTTTCTAGGTTGCCCCTGGAAGTTTAGTACTATTACAATTTTTACCTTTTGCCTGTATATATTGTGTATTCAGGAATTATAGATAACTACCCAAATATTTATAATTATTGAAATATTATTTCAGCAAAGTACTAAATTAGGTGATTGGCATTAGCAAATCGTGGCTGAATTGTGAAATCGTTCTAAGAAAGTCAAAATGTAAGATTTTTTTTCTATAATTTTCATCCTTTCTGTCTGTGAATTTGAGACATTTTATTTTAGTGAATATATAAATTATATCAGTTTCCATTTTTTGTTTTTGTACAAGATACGTTAATTCTCACAAAATGCCCAAGTACATGAAATATTGAATGTTGCAAAAATTAGAGTTTACTATATTCTTACAATGTTACATGTACTTAATTCATTTTTCAGTTCGTTTTTTATACAAAATATTGAGTATATTTTGGGAGTTTCTCTTATTGTTATATGACTAAAAAATTCAATTATAATATATTTTGTAATAAAAACTTATTCACTTTTTAACTAAATGAGAACTATTGGATGAATGCTACTTAGCTTTCATCAGCAAATTTTTTCCATTGTTTTTGTTGCCTCTAGCATTGTTCTAGATTGTGATTCATAAATAAATAATTTGTAATGGTCTATGCAAATTAACCTACTTCCTTGTTTTGTTTTTTCACACCATATTCTTTCCTTTTGTTTCCTTACTGCTCATATTACTTTCTCGCATTCTGCTTTAGCAGTATTTCAAAGTATTGTAATGGTAAAAACGGCATGATTTTTCAACAACAAAACTCTTGTTGCAAACAACAAACTGGATAAATCTTGTTTTAATGTGTAGTAAATTACTTACTCTAATACACTGTGAAGTCAACAGAATCCATGTTATTGTGTCTTTGATTCCAAAAAGTTGTTAGTAGCTTAACTATTCATTACTCACCGATTGACCTGTATGAATGAGCCTTGCAAGTCTCTGACTGAACAAACAGTCTTGCAAGTGTTAAACTGATATTTTGAATTTAAGGGCTACTTACATGAAGCCTCAACAATATTTTCAAAATTGTCTCAAAAACGGCTCCAAAAATTTTTATTCAACTTTGCCCTTAGATGGGGTAAAAAGCTCTTGAAAAATGGTCACATTTTTTTTTTGATTTTTCGAAAATTGCAAAAGTTCAAAAAACTTTCACCTTCTTCCTTAAAAAAAATGTTTAGCATAAAAAGAGTTGGAGGAAGAGATGCTTTTTTCGCAGCAAAACTTAGGTCTCAGTCAGTACAATTTTCTCTGCTTCATAGAAGGATGTGCAGGTTTCTTATATTTCTGGACTACTTGATCTTATAACTCTTGATTGATCTCATCTGGAGTCACACTTTTTCCTGGGTCAACACTCTTCATTCAGAGCTTTGTCCGCCTGCTCTTGCTCAAATTCTTGATTTTTTCCCCCTATCCTTTGCTCTCATTTCCCTTTGGATTCGTATCATTAATCTGAAACCGAATTTAATCTTTTTATTCTTATTCTTCTTATTTAATTTTATTCTTTCATTCCTACAAAATAGCAATGTTGAGTAACTTGCGACAGTGTCTCAATTTACCCGCATCTAGTCACGCATAGAAACTTTCCACTCATAAAAAATTAAGACTGCAGCATTGACAAAACATGATACTGGAGACGCTGGATACTACTTCAGGTAGTGACGCACAAAATAGAAAACATCTTATTAAGAAGGAATGTGCAAGAAAAGTTTTACAATTATTGTTTTTCAAGTTAAAACTTACGTTAACTATTTTTGTTACTGAATAACACTTACTTGCAAATAAGCCGCCGTGAACACTTCGACGCTGCTTTCCACTCAAAACACCTGAACAAAACTGATACAGCCCCAAAATAATTTTTCGTGTAATTTCTGTTTGAAATTAATGTAGTTTATTAATTTTTCCCCTCAAAAATAGCTCTAAAGCGTTTCCTTGTATGTAGAAAAGAACGGTAAAGAAAACTGTGCTGATCCCAGTTTCGACTGTCTGTATTTTTCAAAAATTGCAAAGAATTGGAAAAGTACAATAGTAATAGTAGAGATTTTCTTGTTAAATGAAATATTTAAAAAAATATTTTGTAGTTTTTAACTGCGTAGTTTAGAGTATTTTATTTTTTAATTTGCAAATTCAAATTTCCCGCACGTTTGCTATCTCTAGTATTGTAGTTTGCAATCTGAGTAATCGGACAACAACACAACATGTAGAACGCTGCAACATAGCAATTAGCAAGCCGCAATTAATCACCTAATTGTGAACTCAAATAACTTAGTAAATGCTCCGGAAAACGTTTTTTCATTTAGTTTCTATTAATTTGATTGATTAATGTTTCACTCACTGTATGTAACATTTAACGTTACTTAAACTAATATATTTGAGGTTATGTAGATGTTTACTTAATCATATACCCAGACATTTCTTTCCAGTAATTTTCCACATCTCGTTCTTTTGTTCCTTTATCCCACACAGCGAGCCTCACAAATACCTTAGAAATCAATAATGATATTTACCCATTTTGATTGTTGTGCACACACACACACTCTAATGCAACTATTTGATAGAACCAGCGTGCGCAGCCAGCTCGCCGAAACTCCCAAGAAGAGTTCCGGCAGCTGGCCAGCGTTGACGACTGGATTGCCGATAACTTTCGGCGAGCGTTCGTTGTGTCCGCCAGCATTCGATAACACGGCGCAATCACGCTGCTGCGTGACGTCATTCGGCGCCGGAAACCAACGTTGTATGTGTGCGTACCGTATGTCCCCTCGCAGGATGTGAAGGGCAGAGAAACATCCCTTGAACGACCTCGCTTCGTTGGCGATGGCATGGAACTCCCGGCCTGCTCTTGTGGGCAAGCTGTGTGATTTCGATTGCCGGAGAAGATGTGGCATATATCACAGGTTTCTGGGATCTCATCGGTGTTTGTGTATCCCCCCCTCCCCAACAACCTAACAACCTACCACCTCCTCTGATGCAGTCATAATTTGGAAGCGGGCCTGGCCAGGGAATCCCAGACGTCCCATGCCACGATTGTGGACCTCGAAACGGAGGGGGAGACTGTCTTTCTCCACATCTCATGCAAGTCTGCCAAGAATGCAAGATTGCACGTTTTAACCTGATTTCACCAATATTCCTTTCAGTTCTTTCTCCCATTTAAGCTTGTTTATTTTTGTCGAAAACAGTTAAAAACTGTGTGTGACGTGCTATGGGCAAAGTTATTTTGAAGTTACACTTATGTCCAGAACAAAACAAGTGGCCATCTCAGCATTTGCTCAAGGACCAGGTAAAGTGGACGAAAACTTGATCGAGATGTGAGTCATTGATCCTGAAGCTGAAGTACAATATTTGTTATAAGTTCTTCAGAATTATACAATCCAAATGGTAAATAACACATTTAATGTCATTGTTAAAATTAATATTACTTTTTATTAGAATGTTCGGTATAGTCTCTAATTGTATAGAAACAGTTGTAGTAAAAGATATTTTACTTGAGACTTAAACTTTTGAATCAAATTTAATAGTTCATTGTCGTCTGGCAAGGTGTAAAATAATGTACATGTATTGTAAGTGAATTTTTTCTAGTGAGCTCTTGATACTCTCGCCTGATAAATATGATTACTACGTCGAGTGTTGTAGTTATATACATTGGCGTATGTTGAAAATATATTCCCGCCCTTACGCAAGTCATTTTTGGCAAAAACCATTGAATCATATATCAAGAGACAAAGTAATAGTAAAATACCTCGACTACTACATGGAGTATGACTTCATTTGTTTTCAAGCGTGTAATTTCGAAACTAATTGTCAGATTGACGCCTGCTTTGCACCATTGAATTTCTCGTCGAGAGTTGTAATTACTTACGCGATTTCAGAAAGATACTAGGAAATTAGGTTTTTTCCAATTTTTATCCCAATTTCATGATTTGGACTTCATTTGTTTTCAAGCGTAAAATTTCGAAACTAAAAGTATGTTTGACGTCTGCTTTGCACAATTGAATTTCTTGTCGAGGGTTGTACTTACATACGTGATTTCAGAAAGATACTACGAAATTAGGTTTTTGCCAATTTTTTGCTCCAATTTCAGGATTTGGGCTTCATTTGTTTTCAAGCGTATAATTTTGAAACAAATATTGGAATTGACGTCTGCTTTGCACCGTTGAATTTCTCGTCGAGAGTGTTACTTACATACTTTTAATTGGAGCGATGGGAGAAATTGGGGGTTTTCCAATTCTTTGCCCCAATTTCAGGATTTGGGCTTCATTTGTTTTCAGGCGGTTAATTTCAAAACTAATAGTCGGATTGACCTCTGCTTTGCACCATTAAATTTCTCGTCGAGATTTGTACTTACATACGTGATTTCAGAAAGATACTACGAAATTAGGTTTTTTCCAATTTTTTCCTCCAATTTCAGGATTTGGTCGTCATTTGTTTTCAAGCGTATAATTTCGAAACTAATAGTCGGATATTCGTCTGCTTTGCACCATTGAATTCCTTATCGAGAGTTGTACTTTCATACGTAATTTCAGAAAGATACTACGAAAATAAGATTTTTCCAATATTTTGCCCTAATTTCAGGATTTGAGCTTTATTTGTTTTCAAGCGTATAATTTCGTAACTAATAGTCGGATTGATGTCAGCTTTGCACTCCTGAATTTCTCGTCGAGAGTGTTACTTATATACGTGATTTCAGAAAGATACTACGAAATTAGGGTTTTTCCAATTCCCCCCCCCCCCCAAATTTCAGGATTTGGGCTTCATGTGTTTTCCAGCGTATAATTTTTAAACTAATAGTTGGATTGACGTCTTCCTTACACCATTGAATTTCTCGTCGAGAGTTACTTACACCCGTGATTTTGGAAAGATACTACGAAATAAGTTTTTTTCCTTTTTTTGCCCCATTTTCAGGATTTGGGCTTAATTTTTTCAAGCGTTTAATTTCGAAACATAGTCGGATTGATGTCAGCTTTGCACTCTTGAATTTTTTGTCGAGAGTTGTACTTACATACGTGATTTCAGTAAGATACTACGAAATTAGGGTTTTTTCCAATTTTTTTGTCCCAATTTGAGGATTTGGTCTTAATTTGTTTTCAAGCGTATAATTTCGAAACTAATAGTCGGATTGATGTCAGCTTTGCACCTTTGAATTTCTCGTCCAGAGTTGTACTTACATACGTGATTTTGGAAAGATACTACGAAATTAGGTTTTTTTCAATTTCTTGGTCTAATTTCAGGATTTGGGCTAATTAGTGGTGAAGAAAAAAATAGTATCACCACAAAACTGAAGAATTGTGTGTGACATTTTAGTGGTAAGATATATTAAAGTGATCATTGGATTTGCGGGTTCGAAATTAAAAACAAAATATATTGTTGGGTGATCTTCAGAAGACGTCTAAATTCAAGAGGTCGTAACCGCTGTATTTGCCTGAAAACACCCGCGAATAGATCTCAAGGTAAAAAATTAGGTATGTACTGTTTTGTTTCATTTTTACTTTCCCGTATATGTTTGTACATTTCGGATTATGTATCTTGTGAATGGAAAGTTATGTAATGCTGCGGAACAACGATTTTGAGATTTCAGCGAAAATGTACGTTTTCGAGTCCCCAGAATACGAAAAGTTTTTTGTTTTCTTTTTCAAAACGTCCATCTGTTCTTCTGTGAATCACTAGCGGCTAAACCATGCATAGGATTTGGTTCCATATTGAAGAAACTCCTGACCATTTGGCTCAAGTCGAAGCTTTGAAATTTGAAAAATTTTCTTTAATTTGGGGTACTTTACATGAAGCCCCTCGGACATTTTCAATCTTTTCTCAAAAGGGGTCTAATTTTTTTTAAATTTTTTATAAAATTAGAGTAAAATACACCTGTGAAGGTGCCTTAGGTCCGATATTCACGCTTAATTTCAAATTTGAAATATTGCAAGTTTGATTTTTTCCGCATTTTCCCACAACTACAAAATTGAAGATAAAGATTTAATTTGTTCTCCATGTATTCCATTAAGGTAATGAACGTTTTTTGAAAATTTCAGCAGTTTTTGTACAATAATGCGTGCAATTTTAAAATAATAACAAATAAGATTTTCTCAAAATCGGATCCTAATTTTTTCTTTAAACTTTTGGTAGAGATAGTGCTAAGTTTACTCTTAAAACGAGCAACAATTACAAATTGTATTTTTGACTTCTCTCACGTCGTTAATATTTGCATTAAGGGCAATTTGTTTACATTATTATATTTAATGTGCTTTAATTAATGGCATATGAAGTTTCTCTAAAACAACCGTTTTCTGTGAAAACTAGTTCAAAATTTTGCGTTTGCAGAAACATTCAAACGCCATTTTCTCAAAAACCGTTCCAAATTTTGTCTTCAAACTTTTCGAACGGATGGCGCTAATTTCACACTTTCATATGACGTAAAGTTCATTTTTTAGATATTTTTTGTCTTTTCCAAAATTTCACAATTATAATTTTTGAAAGATATTACACCGTTAATATACACATTTTTAGCAATTTGTAACACAATTGTATTTGTGAGGAATTGTACTTAAAATGACTTCAAATGAAGATTTTCGAAAACTCAAACCATTTTTGTGGAAAAGATTCCAATTTCGAATATACAGTAGCGCTTAAACGCTATTTTCTTTAAAACGGCTCCTAATTTTTCATAGAAAATTGCCATTTAGGAGGAGGTTTTACATTTCTTTAATATTCTTAAAAAATATTTCCGTCCCACTATTGAGAAAGCGAATAATTGACTATTTAAAAAAAAGTACATTGTGCTGCGGTAGCGGACAGCTGGCAAGAGTATATGGCAAGTCCGAATAGCTAGCCGAGGCCAAAGGAAATGGAATAATAATACGGGAAAGTCTGTTCCATTCTATAGCAATTTAGTTTTTTTTGTTTTGTGTATGCAAGTTAGTACATGCAACGAGAAATTGTTGATTTTCAAGGTAGGTCCAGAAGGTATCTAATTTGAAAAACAAACTTCTAAAATACTTCCGAGTAAAGCAAAATGATGCAGAGTAAATATTTAGAATTATGCGTTCAACCTGTAATATCATGATTGCATCCCCATATCTACTAGCCAGGAGACGCCACTGAATATAATACTTCTGGAAATTATAAATCGGCAGGAAAACTTGAAAATGCTTGAGAATGTATTGATTCCCCTTTCTGAGTACATCATTGATGATTGTAACATTCAGATCTGCAGATAAGCATTCCTGGTTTACCCTGTGGCGGGAAAAGGACTCCTGCTTAGGAAATGATGCAATATGCTCCCTGACATTTTTACTGTCTCGTACGTATATACGGACGTATATACGGAGAATATACGTAGTATAGGGAAAATTATGTAATGCTGCGGATCATCAATTTCGAGATTTCAACGGAAATACACGTTTTGGGGCCCCCTAATACCGAAAAATGCTTCTTTTCAAAACGTCCGTCTGTCCGTCTGCGAACACCACTAGTGCCTAAATCATGCGTACGATCTTTCCAAATTCCACCTGGCTCGAGACGAAGCTCAGAGATTTTGAAAAACTTTCTTTAAATTTTGAGGGCTCTTTACATAAAGCTCTCCGGACATTTTCAACATTTTCTCAAAAACGGCTCCAGAATTTTTGTTTAAATTTCTTTTACGAGTAGACTAAAATACACTTATAAAGGTGATGTAGGTCCAATTTTCAAGGTTAACTCTGAAGTTTCGAAAATGTGAAAAGTACGATCTTATTCGGTATATTCCTTCAACTACAAAATTAAAGATAGAGATCTTTCCTTCATATGCAATTTGTACTCCATCAAGGTCCTGTTTTTGAAAATTTTAGTAGTTTTCGCTCAATACTGCAAGCATAAGTGCAATTTTAAAAAATTACAAAAACAAAATTTTCTCAAAAAC